GCCAACTTCTCCCACTGAACTTCAACTGCTAACCCTTCAACTCCTCCTCCACCTTCCAGACTAGGAGCTGTCTTTCAGCATTACCGGCTTCCCTACTTTAGACCTCCGAGAGAATATTCTAACACAGCTACTACCCTTCCTGATCTTCTACAATGTCTGCCTTGATCACCTACAACTTTGGGTTCCCTATAACTCTGTTTCTCTGCTCACCCAGTGACAGACAGTCCTAGAACCACAACCATCAGGGCCCACTCCAGATGAACATGATCTAAATATGACTGGCCGCTCCCTGATCTTCAACAGTTCTACTCCCTCCATCAAATTTCCCAAAGGAGTCATTTTAAACCTTTTCCATTCAAGTCTTCAATTCAGTAAGACTTCTCAGAAATTTCCTATTTACTGAGAAGACTGGGGGCAGGAACCTGTATAAACTGTCTCCTGCTTCTGAAACTTTGTGTTGTTACTTCCTCCTGAATGCCCCTCTGTCTCAAATGAAGTATCTTGCCACCCTTTCACAGGCCTGAGATAGTGTCATGTCTGCCTCACACTTTCACAATCTTCTTTGCCGTACAACTTATAATTTGCTGAACAAACAAACTGCATGCCTAAGTTTCTGCTCCCTTCATGCCAGACTACGAGGAAGGCGAGTCTACACTGACAGCCTCACACATATATCCATGCATTTCCTTTGCCCACAACCCCATGCTTCTTCTGAAGTGCTCTTGGGTCTTCCCAGTCACCAAATCCTATGACTTTTCTTGGCCTGCATCCTTAACTTTACTGAGACACTTCAGACTCAACTCAATCAAAACTGAACTTAATACTCCTCTTCTCCATTCCCACCACAGCTGACTGCGCTCCCAATTCTCCCAGTTAAGCCAAAAACTCCTGGTCATCACTGCCCCAAATTAGTTATTAAGTCCTCTTCCTTCCACTGTCATGCCTGTCCCTCAGCCTCCCCTTCCATTCCCATGACAGACAACACCCTGACCTCAACACAAGTCAACACACTGCACCAGCCTCTAAGCCTCTTGCTGCTAAAACACTCTATTCCTAGAGTCTTGAGAGTCTAACAAAGGCATTTTAAATACTTCAGCCTGAGAACGAAGGCCTGCTAAGAGCTGCTCTAGCCTCTAGCTCTAGGCTTCGTGATCTTCCCTTCCTCTATTTAATGTCATGTATTTCACCTTTCCCCTGAACTGCGGGAGAATTCAGTTCTCAGAGCTTGCTCTGCACTTCCTCACCTGCATGCCTGAAGCAGGCCATTCCAACCATTTGTAATGTTCATTATCATTACTTACTGAAATCCTATTATTGTTTTCAAGATTTGGTAAAGATGCCATCTTTTTCATCTCCCATAAGCTGTAAATTATTCATTTCTTTGCTCAACTTCCATGGTTCCAATAAGCTCATCTCTTTCTTACTCATTTACTCTTAGCTCATGTTCTTTTGTGTGAGAGTTGCCTGTGAACTTGCCTTCTTGTTCGTATCAGAGTTTATGTTCTTGGAGGCAGTGATGAAGGAAACAACAACAAGTATGATCATCACGATTGCCATAACCAGCTCCTACCGTATCCCAGCTCTGTGGAAAGCACATAACCTCACCACACAACAACACTACAAGCACTGCCACCACTTTCAGATGTGATTAAGCAACATGCCCAAGGCCCGTACCAAGGAAGCAGTAGAGCCAGAAATTAAATTTAGGGTTCTCCAACTTCAAAAGCCATGCTCTCAATTCTCTATGGTATTGCTCATCATCTACAAATGAAACAGATGACCCCTGAATAAAACACACTTTTCCAAAATCCCATGGGGGAGCATGTTTACTGAGCCAGACTCCCCAGTTTCCTCAGCCTGCTTGGTCAATACATGCCCTTATAGGGAGAAGATAGGCAGCTCAGATTCAAACCCTGAAAAGATGATTTCACAAGTATGACCAAGTTTTTGTGCCTCAAGACTAAACAGAACATAAAATGGAAAGTGAGGAGAAAATCTAATTCACCAGGATTAGGTAATAGCCTGACGGTTTCTTTGCTTGGGACCATCAACATGGGTAAGGCAATGAATCAAGCCCCTCCAAAAGCCTTACTCACATAACCTAAACCACCTCCAGTAATTCTAGTTTCTGAGGCTCTGACATAAGCCCTGTGAAAATATGATAATTGTACTCTGCTGACAAAGTCTGAATCAAAGAGGTCTTATTTTAAGTGTACACAGGCAAAATAATGATGGGATGCATAGGTATCAACATGAAGAAAGTGGGGGCTGTGGCTCTCTCTAGGTAAGCGGCTAAGGGCTGTAATCCTCCGAGAGCAATGTCATTATATAGCTCAAATCCCATCACAACAAATACCTTCACAACAGAGATGTCTGTATAACAAAAGCTCTTTCAAGCTTTGGCTGACAGCCCACACACTTTAAGCAATGTTTGATGTGAGACTTGAAGTTCACAGTAATGGGAATTGACCTGTATTTCCAAAGGTAAGATTTGAATGATTTCATCTCTAACTCCTACTCCATGATATCATGAGGTAGGACTGATGTACAATCTAAACCTGAGTATAAAAACTAAACACAGAGACCGAAATGAAATCAACTCATTCTTAAAGAATAAAATTTCCTCCTTTCACTTGGGGAACACTTCAGTAAAGGAGACTGCCCTTGACCCAGACCCTGAAACATATCACACCAGGGTTAGTCTGCAATCTCATCTCATGGAGACGCAGAATGGTGTAGTCCATGAAGAGAGATGGACCATGTCCAAATCTCTGATCTGTCAGTTACCAGCTGGGCAAACTGGACTATGTTTCTTAACTTTCTATGATCCTCAGTTTCCTCATCTGTAAAACATGACTAATACCACCTACCTTCTGGTTTTAGGTGAGGACGAAATGAGAACAGATGTAAAATGCCTGACATAGGGTCTGATACACGTAGTATGTGCTCAAAAAAATTTCTGCTTCTGCAGACCATGGGCTTCTGAAAACTATTTCCACCAAATTAGTAGTAAGACATAGTGAATACAAGTTAACAAAATGCATAGTCTTAATATAGGCTGGTAAAAAAAATGCTGCTCAGAGGAACATCTAGGGCAAGAGAGACAATGGGAGAATAACTAGGTCACGCTCAGGTACTTATTTGACTGGGAAAAGGGCCTTTTCAGCCAAGTTAAGATACATGTATTTCAAGGCTGAAAGTAATGAAACCAGGCATCCTAACAATAAGTGAGCTCTGATCATTTTGTCAAAGGTAATTTTTAAAAAATCTGATAAACCAACATTTGGAGTCACATTTTTCTTGTCAAGGATGAACTGTGGTTATTTCTCTAAAGCCTAGTCTACTGCCTCTGGTCTAGTTTTCCCTGAGTGACATTATGGCTGTTGAGAGAGCCCTTATTTGGTGATTATTTATTAAATTTTTTTAGCTCTAGTCTATTGATTTTGCTCAATAGCATACCATGAAAGTATTAAAACAAACTCTAGTCTTCTCCATTTGGAAAACATGTAGGTAACTAATATCAGAATACGTTCAATAAAGGTATTTACTACTGCTCTCATTTGTGAAGTTTAGAAACCCACAGATTTTCAGTTAAATGATTTTTCTATATTTCAAACAATGGGGCAATCAAGTTTGTGGTGACAATATTCTATGTACTTTTTAAAACAACCTTGCTTAAGGTTTGTTTGGAAAACTCAAGTGTTATGAACATACTCTGAAGACACACCTGTTCACCTTTCTAAAATGAGTACTGGCCAGGGGTTCAATTCCTTAAGAGGCTTCCAAAAGCCCTACAGACCTTGGCAACTACAAGGAACAAGAGGCAGTCCAACATTTCTCGTAGTCACAGAATGTTAGTCTTAAAGATTTCCTAGTTCTATCCTTTCACCTTGCCATTAAGGAAAACGCTTAGAGAAAAGTATGTGCCAATGTTCATGTGCCCAACTGAAGTGTATAAACAAGCCAAGTGATGCTTTCAGGGGTCTTAGGAGAAGCAACACAGAAATAAAACAACATGCCAGACAGAAACACCAAGGCACAGAGCAAAAGAAACTGAGAGACCCACAAAACAACAGAGGACTCCTGTGCAGAGAGACTGAGAGATCAAGAACAGGGGATGAAAAAAAAATTGCTAAAGCAAGAAGGTTAAAATAGCAACAGAGATCAAGTGGTAGCAGCAGAGTAGGTATTTAAATTCAGTCTGTGGAGAGCTTCCAAAGTAAGATGCCAGTGCACAGAAGCATCAGTCCTCACAATGGGTCCTGGTCTCTATTTCATTAACTGCTCCCACTGCCCCCCATCGCTGTCATTTTAAAATGGAGGCAGGAACAACTATCGGATCCTATACCTTCATCTCAACACTGATAAGGGCGGAACCCTCAAGCGTCTGTGAAAGTGTGCTAAGTATGCCAGGTCACTAGGGTGCTGCTCCCAGCTCCAAAAGGCAGATTCACCTCATGATCCCCACCTGGCCCCCAGGAATGCGTGTCCCTCCTTCAAGGGAGCCTTTTCTCCCTCGCACCAGTGGCATCACACCGTTTACAAAGGTACTTTGAGGTCCCCACCGGCTATGGAAAAGTGAAATGCAATTGTAATTACATGGGCAATCATGGGAACATAGCGGTGGGAAGAGTTAGGTCCTGAAATACAAGGCACAGAAACGCGATTCCTCGGAGAGGCAGCCACCCCGCCCAAGCAGAGGCTATGCTGCCTAGAAAGTGACCTCCCGGGAGCGATCACGCGCCTGGACGAGCCTCTGCGCTCCCGCCCCGCCTCCGTCCCTCCCTCCCGCCTCCAACCTGTCCCGGAGGGCCGGCGGGCGGGCGGGGGCTTGGGGAGGAGCCGGGAGCAGCCCCCGGAGCACAGGGGCCGCCCGTGCCTGCTACTTCCAGCCCTCCCGCCTGCCGGCCCTCCCTCCCGCAGGCTGGGGGCTCAGGCAGCCCCAGCGCCCCCGCGACGCCCACCTGGACGCCTGGCCACCCCCGCCCCGTGCTCTGTACCTTTACTCTGCGGAGGGTTCTGACTCCGGTCCCGGAGGACGTTGATCTGGTAGACGGCTCCATAAGGCTCAAAAAGTTCTTTCAGCTCCTTTTCCGACCACGACCGGGGGATCTGTCCGACAAACATCTTAATGGCATCTGGGTCTGGTTGGTCTGAGTGATCCAAAGCTCCGTTCATCTTGTTGGCTGTGCCGTTACTGTCAAAAACGGAACCGGGAGCCAGAGTTAGGGCGGCACGATGAGGGACAGGAAGAAAAAAAAGCGGGGGTGGGGGGGCGGCAAGGCGGAAGGAGGAGGAAGAAGAGCACGGGCAAAGTGCCTAATGAGTCGTAGAAATTTGATGAACTAAAACAAAGCAGAGGCACCATGAGTTGCTCCTCGGCGGCGGCGAGGCTCTCACTGCGTGCTGCTCTCGAGCAGAGCCGCGGGAGCACAGGGCAGCGCCCCGCCGCCTGTCACCCAGGGCGTGGACATCTTGGAGGCTCGGGAGGCAGCTGCAAGTTAAGTGCAGGTCTAGCTCTGCAAGGCTGCCATCAACGCATCAACGCGTTATCAGCCCTACCCTTGCTGTGGCTGGGAAAGAAAGACAGAGCTAGATGCCTGCTGGATTTCTCTCCCTCTCCCTGCCCCGCCCCCCCCACCCCACCACCCTTTTTGGGAGGTTTTGGAAGAGAGGAGAGAGGTGGTAATAATAAAGTCACATGGAAAGAAAATGAAACACTTGGCAGTCCGTCAGATGACTAATGCAAGATGCGGGTGATGAATTTGCAGAGTGCGCGAGGCATCCATGTGTGCATCAAATTAGTACGTTGTTGCTACTCAGAATGGAAAGCGGTCCAGCTATGCAGCTCTGCGCAGCTGATTGGCTGCCCACGCTGGAGAAAAAGGCCGGAGCTGGGAGGGGGCTCCCCTTTAAAAAGCACATTGTTTATGGGACCCAGGCACAAAGGGTTTAATTCAGAGAGGCAAAAGGAGATCTCAGAATTGCCTGCTTTGTGCTGGGTTAAAAAAAAAATAAAAAAAGAAGCCCCAGAAAGTTGAGTTCCCACTAAAGGACACTGAATATTTCAAATCTTTCACACTCCATAAATTGTTCTCTGTATATCTGACTTCCAGATGTTGCACTTGAGTTCTAAACAATCACACGTTTGGGAGAGAAAAAAAGAAAGTCTGCCTTTTCTTCTCCCAGCTTTAGTAAATATTTGGGGCTGACAGAGAGAACAGCCATAAGCTTTCGCATATCAGTCCCCCTCAATGCTGTTTCCAAAATCCCCATTTGGAAGAAAATGCTGTATAGAGCCTGCGATTCTAGTCACCATCAAGTAATCCGATGAGGAACACATGTCTTTTTTACTTGCCCCCACCCTCCTTTGAGCAGGAATAAACAGTAGAGCAAAACCACATACCCTCTTCCCCCACCCTCCACCTCCAAATATACCCTGAACCCAGCTACTCTGCCAAGTGACAAGGCTGAATGCCTCTCGGCAGCACTCATTTGCAGCACTGCACTCTTGCTCCAGCTTCTCGGCCTGTGAAAATAGAAGGCGCTGAAACAAAGCAGGCAGACGCTGCCCCTATAGAGCCTCCTCCAACAGTACGCCCACCCCAAGAAGCAGAGAAGTCAGAAAGGGGACACATTAACTAAAACTAAACTGCAAGGGCCAGGCGTGATTTCACTGTAGCCTCCTGGTACTACCAAGAGGGTAGACAAAGATCTTCCAGAGAGCTACTTATTTGGTTAAAATGAACCATCAGACAAACCATCAGAATACTTCAAATCTGCTGTGGTCCTAGGATGGTCCTAAGTCCCTAAAAAGAAGATATTTACTCATGGTTAAAAAGTCAGAAACCTATGGAAAGGAGAAATCATGAATGAGATTCAACCTGAAGAGAAAAGTAATGTCAAATACTCTTCGCTAGGTCCCAGCTTCAATTTCTGCTTCTTTGTATCCCTCTATTTTACCACTTTTTTATCCTTGAGATAAACAATCAGACTGTCTAACTTGAAGCACTTTCAGAGCTTGCGCTAATCAACCTTATTGTTATAAAAAATGTTCTGCTGAATAAAATATTGAGTACAAAATCTTCTCTCAACAATTTCGCTGTAATGTAATGCTTGTTTATATTAGAGCTAGATTGTTTATCTTGTTCTTATGCACCTATCCTTTTCAAATCGCTCTTTGAGAATTCAATAAACACTTTAACTCTGTGAATTTGGGGCTGAGCGGGGCCAAGGTGGTGGACTCCCTGGCAGCATAGCAGGTCTTGTTCACACCCTGTCAGGGGTTGAGCGTGTGGCAAGACTTATTTCTGGGACAGGAAAGACTTGTGGTTACTGCTGTTTACACCCAGCTAGAATGTAAAGAGGAAGCTTTGCCACAGGTCTCAGCTAACAAAAAACACAAGTTAAAAAAATGGGGCTATTGCCCTCATCTGCGGAGCGCATAATGTAACACAATAGAGAATGGAATGGCAGTGTACTTAGTTCTAGGGTCTGAACTCACAATTCTAGAGCAAGCTATCTTCCATGCTTCTGCAAGTGAGAGGCCACTTATTCTTTCTCAGAAAATACAAACTCACCAAGATGCATCAAGTAAGGAAAGCTGAGGAGCTGTCCTATGCCTCACACCTCTGGCCTGTATGTGGCAAGGTATCCATGTATAATTCATCCCCATGAGCCATGCTTCACCCCCATGCATAGAGACTTCTCATCTTGAGGCACTGTAGCACAGTGGCTCTGAGTTCTGGCACCACCACTTCCTAACTGTGCTACTCTGGGCTCAGACTCTTCATCTGTAAAACGGGGATAGTGAACTCCATTCTCTTAGACTCATGTGCTTAATACAGGACATGGCACAAAGTAAGGGCTCTTTCAGTGTCAGCTATTCCTACTGTTAATTCTTTCTTTGCATCTGTGAAGGATGTGAAATGAGTGACCATCAAAAATCTACTTTTCAATTCAAAATTTTTACAGTAAAGACTACAACACAATTCCTATCCTAAATAATAATGTGTATTTTAGTGATTACTTACATAGCAAATACTGTGATATGTACTTTACATTTTTTTGAATCCCCCCCTTTAGGGTACTTTGAAACCCACATTTACTCAGTCACATAATGTGTCTCCATCTCCACAGATTCCCTTCTTCTCTGTTCCTACATAGTCACCCATGAGCACCTCTCATCTGCATCTACATCCTTGCCATGCTACCTGCCCTTTTGGAAGCAACTTTTCCAAAGATTTGCATTAAGTTCTAAGGGCAGGAAAATCCCTTCAAGAAAATCCAATTATGTCCACTTGTTTAAGTTAAAATACCACCCCCAACACCTTCCTGATCAAAAGCAAAATAGGTGGTCCTGTCCCACCAATCACCCTCCTGGCGCTACCGCATCACATGACCTGAATCTCGACAGTGCTGCAGCAGCTTGGTTTACTCCCTTCTCATCCGCCCAGCTGAATCCTGCTCTGGATTCCCAACTTTCTCCCTGGCTCATGCTCATTTATAGAGGAGACTCACTGAATTCTTTTGTCCTCATGGGGTTATAGCACTGACACTGCTAAGCAAGCCAGATGCTATGTGTTCAACAGTTGAACCTTTTGAGTTACCTGTCCAAAACCAAGGAGAGCCAATGTGCTCTTCAAAGACAGGTAATTACAGGAACAGATACTCCAGATCTCAGCAAGACCCTTGATAAGGTGTCCTATTTGCGAGGATCTCATCGTGGACTTAGAAAACTAGACTAGCTTGCTCCTCTTCACTCCCTAGACATTCTGAACATCGAGTACACTGCCTCTCACAGTCCAAGAATTTACATCCAAATTCAAGTAATATTTATTGAGGGGCTACTCTATGCCAGAAACCTTTGCCAAGTACTCGATATACAATACTCTCAACAGCTCCCATTGGCATCATTATCTGTTTTGGAAAGGAACCCAGTGAGAGTCGCAGAGATATACTGACTTTTCCAATGTCACACAAAAGGTGCTTAGGGAATGTGGATACAATGAGAGGTGAAGGTCAGCCATCTCGGCCTCATGTTCCATGAGCTACGTTTCTCTAGGTTGACGTTTCCCAACTGGGTGGCCACTCGCAGGCCCTGGTCACAGAGGCACACATCTCTGCTGGCACCCTGCCTGCAAACTGCAATGAGATCCCTGGTGCCAATTCTGCTAGAACCCTTGGCAAGGAGCCAGCTAGAAGGCTCTTCTAAGACACATGCCATATGGAGTAAGACCACAAGTCTGCGAGCACTATGCCAGTAGGCATTGGTATCACCCATGTCACAGTCAAGATGAAAATGAAATGACGTTTGGAAAAACAATGAGTGCTTTTTAGTTTTAGCCCAGGCACTGACCTACTTCCCTATTTTAAAAGAAAAAGAACTAGATCAACAGAGTATATGCAAAATCTTCTGAGTTTCATCTAGGCAGTAAACTATTATAAAAACTATAATAATTGATTCAACATATTATTATTTTTACTAGTTTTAGGACAACAAACTTTTGTAAGGCCCAGTGATTTGCAGGCTTCCTTTGGGAGAATGAAAACAAAATAATTAAAATGTCTATTCTTTTTTATCTTGTTCTGTGGGTAACTTTCTGTGTTGCATTTCCTTTATTTATATAAAAAGAAGAACAAACTTACAAAATGGCTTTAAGAATTGCCAAATGGCTATAAATTATACTAATGCTAAAAGACATAAAATGTCATCTTCAGAATGCACACTAAATTAAAAAGTATACAGAATGATTGCCCTAGAAAAATTGCGTATAACGATAGAAAATCTGCTTAGTAGTTATTAATAATCATATTACTCCAGTACTTTTTTTTTTTTTTTGATCCTTGGGATAATCCACATCAGTACGATCCAACCCCGTGCCATCATGGAAACGTTCTGTATCTGCACAGTCCAATGTGGTAGCCACTAGCTACATGTAGCTAGGAATTAGTTGAAATTTGGTTAATGCAACTAAGGAACTAGATTTTAAATTTTATTTAACTTCAGTTTACCTAAATAGCTATAGATGCAAATACACTTGTCCTTCACTTGTTTTATACTGATTGGAGTTGAGATTGATCTAAATGTATCATTGCATGGGAAGTTTGCTTTGGAAACACAAGAATATGGGGCCCAGAAAGCCCCATCAGTGCTTGAGACTCTCAACGGCAGGTCAGCGAACAGTGGGCCAGCAG